TTGCCTCTTCGAAGAGATTTTGAAATTATTATTCTCATCACCTGGTAGCGCATAAGAGGGGCATAATTTTGGGACTAACAGACAGAATGTTCTTACTTTCCTACCCGAAATTTCATCACAAGAACATAATATCAATCGTAAATATTTAAAAAAATAACGGTTATTCATTAAATTTTACTTTTTTGACAATTCATAAAAGATATTTATTTTATAATAGAACTAATAACTCCAATGATAATCATAATAATATTAACTCCGAGAGAAATGACAAAAAAGAATTCTCGACTGTTCTTTATATCAAGTCTGTTTCCAAAGATTTTGGTTCGATTGCAAGAAGCTTTGATATGAGGATGGCGTTTTCCATTTCAAATAATTTAAAAAGATTCATCAAAACCGGTAAAGATCAACTAGATAATCTGTCGCATTGTGGCGTTGTTTATAAGATATCATGCTTAGATTGCAATACCACATATGTAGGTCAGACGAAAAGGAAATTAAACATGAGAATAAAAAGACATAAAAGTGACATGTCAATAAAAAAAGTGACTTTCCATCCATAATTTCCAGACATCGGTTAGAATCTTTCCACGAATTTGACTGGGATAATGTTAAAATTTTGGATGAGGAGCCCTCTTACAATAAGAGATTGATCTCTGAAATGATTTACATTAAGCGTCAAAACACGGGAATCAATAGTCAAAGTGACACAGATTTTTTTATTCGAGTTATATTTCCCGATCCTCGACTTATTCCCCCTCTTATAAGTCACATTTTCTTCCTTTCTTCCCGTGTTTTCCTAACATCTCTTTCCCTACTCCTTTCCCGTTGTTGTATTCCTCCCCTCTTTCGTCCCCCATCGCTTTGGATATGTTTCGAGTAATGCTAACATTAATGTTCGGACTTGCGATTAAGTAACATTTATTATCTGCCTCTTTCATTATTTTGGCTTTGGGTGACTGCGACATGGATTATTATGTATGTTAAAATTCATTCATTAATTTTTACATATTTGCGATTACCTTCTAACTTTTAATTATTCATTTATTTTAGTTTTAACTTTTCAAAATGTCTTTTTAAGTCTTCCAATATTCCGTTTCGTTCTATGGCATACCATATACTAAGTAGGTTCGAACAAATTTTTTAGTTATTTTTACTTTTTACATTTTGAACAATATCTAAATAATAGTCACATGAATTAATTTCAGTTTAACTTCTACGGTTTCTATTTAATGCGATACATATTAACTATTGTGTTGAATTATATTTGTTGTTAAGGCACATTTTATTTTATTAAGTACATATTGTTTAATGGACATCACATTGTAATAATCAGAATTTATGTTAAATTTGTTTATCTATTTGACACTGAAGATGGCCTGAACGTCAGGCCGAAACGTTTATATATGATGTTTTCATAATATAATACATTTGTTTTGCACCAAGATCTAGCGTTGGCTCTTTAGCTCTTTTAATCTTATTTTGTGATTATTCAATCAGCAGAGTCTTTTTAACTTTATTTTAAAATTTATTAATAGATTATATCACAGCTAGCATATAATACTTAGTTTTTTATTTTTACTTAAAAATAGGCAAAATAATTCTGATATCCCGTGAGCAAATAAAGTCTATTCTAATTGGAATAAATATTGATATTAATATCAAAGCGAGAATTTGGTTTGATATTTTCAACAATTTTCGTGAAAAATGACTTGGACATCATTTTATATCACATTTCAAGTTCAATTAAATTGTTACAATAGTAAATATTTGTAATCTATTTATTATAATTACTCGTAATTACTGAAGAAACTCTAATTACGATCAGAAACACTATTTTCCAATCAGAATAATAAAATCTGTAAATATGTAAAAAAGTTACATAAGTCCTGGTCTTCTTGTAGTCCCTGAAGGTCAACCTTTATAACCGGCATTGAATATCTAGCACTTATCTCGCGTCATGAAAAATTTGATAATTCTTTTATGTAGAACAATTATAAAAGTTGCAAAAACAAAAAGTGTAAAAACTGCTGTATATGGAAAGTACTCTGAAAGTCTGGAATATTCGTGAATAAAGCAGGCAAATAACCCTCTTAGCATGACGCATTATTAATTATCTAATTTTTTTCTTCGTAAGATGCACACTTGACTGCCGTTCCGCTACAATACCTATATATTTCTCGATGACCGTCGACGAGTTCAGCCTCTCGATCGCATCGATTAATGGGCGCGTACGAACGGAGGACTCGTGGACGACCGTCGCGTTGTTGTCGCCTTCGATTTGTTCGGCACCGAGTGAGAAACAGGGTGGAACCCCGCGGGTTCGCGCCACGAGAGAGGATTCTTCGTGCTCGTCGCCAAGAGAGACACTTTATTCACTGTTGGCTCCGCCACCAGAATAATTCGACCATCATTTTTCTCGCTTTATGTTGGGTAAGCGTTACTAATGGCTCGTTCTCGAGGCAGACCACGAGAGACTGGTGTAACGGAGGTAAATTTACGCGGTTACGCGCTTACCTCAGTTAATAAATAAAGGCGTGACTCTCGGGAATGTATGACCTGCGCATCTGTGATGAGGATGCAAATTTGTTTCGGATCGCGGAAATGGTCGCAATTTTTTCGACTTTATTTACAAATTACTAGGCGTTATTTCAAAAAAGAAATAATATAATATGTTATTAATAATATATTATGAGAATAACATACAGGATGTTCCAATGGAAGAGTTGCTGAAACTAATTAACTGTCATTTTTAAACGCATATAGGAAGCAAGAAAAATAAAATATCTTCTAACAGAGGATATTTTGCAGTTTTAATTGCGTATAAACTAAAGACAATATTTTTATCATTAAATAAACATTTATTATAAAATACCAAATATAGATGCTTTTAATGGTATATATATTTGACATGCACACCGTCAGAATTATAACAAAAATTAAGTCGATTTCGGAAATTATAACTGTAATTGTAACTTTTGTTGCATAAAGTTTTTTATAATTTTTTTTATAGTTTTTTATAGTTTCCAAAAGAGACTCAATTTTTTGTTATAATTCTGACGGTGCGCACTTTCAAAATATAAACCATTAAAATTAGCAAAATTTGGCATTTTTATATAAACGTTTATTTAATAATAAAAATATTTCCGATTATTTTTAGTTTATATGTAAGTAAAACTGCAAATGTCCTCTGTTAGAAGATATTTTATTTTTTTTGTTCCCTATGTGCGTTTAAAAATGAGTTAATTGGTTTCAGCAATTTTCTATGGGACACCCTGTACATCATACAATGATTATTAGGACGACAGACGTTAATTTATTCAATGGTAAGTGCGATAGTTTGTCAATCGTCTATGTTTCGAGGGGAAGCGAGCGTTTAGGAAGCAAAACGTTTCACGGATCATAGTTCGCCCGACAATAAAACACATGGGAACAGAACCCAAAACCCATTTGACAGTTTTCCATAACGTGAGAAATTCATATTCATTTTGGGCGTGGATGTGAAGGGAGCGTGCATCCATAGTCAAGTTGAACGGAATTGTGAATACATACTTGATTCATCTGTGTGTGTGTGTGTGTGTGTGTGTGTGTGTGTGTGTGTGTGTGTGTGTGTGTGTGTGTGTGTGTGTGTGTATGCTGACACTAAACGCATGTAGAAAGATAGAAATAGTATAGGCGGAGAGAAACGGCAGTGATAAAAGCCGCCAGTCTATTCGGGAATGATTTACTGCTTGGGCTTCAGGCGCGGTGAAAATACAAACAGGTGTTCAAACTTCCTTGAAAACTTAAATTTATTTGGAATCAAATAGAATTTATTCTATCTTTGATGTATAATTAGCATAAGATTATATATTAAACATTTTTCTATATGTATAAATATATTTTGAGTAAAGGAGAAACATTTATTTAAAAATTTATATAATTTTGTAAAAAACCTATATTGCGTAATAATTTTAAAATAAATACTTTTACATAAATTTTTGTATTTATATAGAAAAAATATGCAATAGTTTGATATATAAATTTTATATTAAATATTTTTCCATTTTATTATTTCAAGTAAGAGGGACAAATTTATCTAAAAATTGAATCTTATGAAGGAACGATACGCCTGATAATTTTAAAATAAAGTGGAGTGTTCTATTCGCACGGAGAATATATACGGTGGTTCGATAAATGCGAGCGCAAGAGCGCGCGCGCGCGCGCTTTTTCCTCCGCCGATATCGGATGTGCTCGGACTTGCAAACCAAGTTTGCGCGAAGAAGACTCGAAGCTAGGAGTTTGCGAATCACCGCTGAAATTCCATTCGGCAGTTTGGCCGCTGACAATAAGGCACCCCACTTGCGACGCGACTCACCGTCTGTATACGAGTGTATTTTGTCTACCCACACACGCGCGTTATTTCGAGTGTGAATCCCACTCTATCCGAGGGAGTCATGGGCGGGTACTGTAGGCGGAGCTTGCCCGACGATGCTTACTCCAACCCCGGGTCCGCATCTCAGCGGCATTGGCAATCCTCTCCGTGCCATCCTATTATCACTTATCTGTCTTGCAACCCCCTTGAACCAACACGTATGCGCGTACAAACCTGTGAGTTCGTGTTGTCGCATCGGTATGATACTCTCGTGCTAAATATCGCATGCTCGTTTTCGTCAATCTTTTACACGTGTCTGTAGGAAACATCTCTCACATAAGATGTAACTTTTTAAGATCAAGTATACATTTATTGCAGGTTTATCACGGTATTAATTTGTATTTTTTCTGTTCAGCCGTGAGTGAGATAATTGCCATAAAAATTAATAATTCGGCTATCGTTGAAACTGATCGACCGAACGATTACTAACGCGCGAGTATAGGCACACGTTGCGAGTGTGCGAGTGCTGGTCCATCCCCACGCACGAGCGAGCGTGCAAGTCGCCTATCCCAGCGCCCATCATGTGACATGGTAGGGGTACAGCCGGGTATGTCAGTCTTCTCTCGGCACCGATTCGAGTAGGATGTGGTTTAATTCTTCGCGAACCGCGATTCTTTACTTTCGTACATCTGCGTAAACAAATGACGAATGATCGGCATACTCGATTAGATTATCAGACCGATCTGGAGTTAAGTCGCGACGAGTTTGTTGAATAAGTTGGTGGAGAACGCGTTCGCAAACTTAATAATATATGGGAGGGAGGGGGTGAGTAATACAAGTGGATACAAATCTGCTCCGATAATCGAAATGAAAAAGAGAAGAAGCACGTAATCGCATCTGGATTAATTATAACAACATAAACATGAAGGTAGGTTTGACAACATAAGCATAAAGCTTCTTTTTTTTTGCAACATTTCATATACACATATCAAGTCTACTTGTGGCGGAATAAGCGTGCTGGAAATCTCGAATTTTTCATTATTTTTCTAGCAATGTTGGAAAAGATTTGGAGAACATACAAAAAAATAAATCCTTGAAGAAACGCAAATATAATGATTAAAGAATATTTTATTCTTAGAATAGGGCCAAGTATGAATATCTCTGATTAAGAATAAATTATCCTTAAGCAATTAGCTAATGGCTAAACAAAAAGTTTATTTTGTTAAATTAATCTTAAAAAAGCTTCTATCAATGTTTGTTTATCGGCGACTATTTTAGTTATCGATGATTCTCTACTTGAAATGTCTGTAATTCTTGTGTGATTAATTTATTTTATTTGAAAATAATAGTTACCTAAGATGATGGAGGGTTTTGAACTCGGGATTCTTGGATTATAAGCCAAATATTTCACGTTTCATGCTTTTCACATTTCATGCTTTTTATATTATTACCTGTAAGATATGTTTCATATTATGTTCTATATGTTACAACTGACGGAGCTATTATGTATATATATATTTTAACAATATAATTTAATACTAATTTTATCATTGATTAAATTGAAATTTATGTAAATTTGCATTTCTTTATTATCAACACTGACTAAACAGGTTTGAATTAACACATGTCCAATATACAATCTAAAATCTAATCTAAATCTACAATCTAATCTCTCTCTTCTTGTTGAAACAAAGAAATTCTTCATCCAACAGTAATAAAATTTATTACCACTGGATTTATTTTAGTTTTTTATTTTTTATTATTTATATCAACAGTCTTTATTATGACACTTTATTATGGAATAAAAATTTATCTAATAATGGCTAACAGCTAGACAAACTGATAAAAAACTGATTATAAATTTTAGCTAGTAATTAGCTATATCCTATCTTAAAAATTTTATTTATCTGTACTAGCTTGCTACTAGTCATTATATAAGGTCGGCTAGTCTAATTTCCATTCGAGTATACATGATTTTCGGCTGTGTGCGTATTAGCCCGGTTTGCCTCCTGCTGGCCCGAAAACAAGCTTCAAATAAGCGGAGCTTATTTCGAATATATAATTCTTAATCCAAGAATAAATAGCAACTATGTGATTGGATTTAGAAACAAGAATACCATCTTGAGGATAAAATAACACTCCGTTTTAACTCCGTACAAACCCATTTATTACTGATGCGAGTGAACATTTCTAGCTAAAGAGAGCATTCCGTGCTCAAATAAAAGCAAATAGTGTTCAAGAAGAAAAATATACGTGAGTCAAGAATTCACTTTTTTCTGTGAAAACATCGAAGAAACGGCATTTTTGCAAAAACTTTAATTGAAAACAAGTATTTATAGCTGTTGGATGAACTTTACAGAGTTAATTCGAGAAAAACGCTGCTCTGCATTTAAACACTAAAGTAACGCTTTAACGGGAAGGGCCGGTAGTTTACTCGCATATATCCGGTAGTCCCGCGGTAGTCCGGCGGGCCGCGCGCCAAGGCCCGGTTTCGCCTTCTCTACATTTCTCACTTTGTCAGCTCATCTACATCCGCGGCCCCAGCTCGTTGACGAATAAAAAATGGAGCCTATTATTCTTTCTTACTCGCTTGCTGATTGTAGAATGCGGATTCCAAAGCGAGCAAACGGAATGCGAAAATGGAACTCGTCAGTTCATATTCACGTGGGAGAATTTTGTCAGATCTTAATTCTTTCTCAACAAAAAGAGCAAGGGAACGTACGTGTGGCGCGAGCTACGACATAATATTTTGCGAATAATAAATGTGTGTTTAACAATTTATTTATTTTATTTTATTTGTTATTTTATTGTTCTCAAGATCTCCATTACACATTCACATTCACAAAACTTGAACGTATAAATATTTAGCGGTAATATGTTAATATTACGGTGTAACAAAGAAATAATCCGCCTCTCGACTTGGATTCAAACAAATGTTGTGCTTTTCTTTATTTACGGATAATCGTGGCCAAATGGAGCGTTTTAAGAAGATAAGCTTAAATTTTTGACCGTAATAAACTATCCCTTGGCGCGTGTAAAGTTGACCTGGTGTTGTTCGAGCGATCATAAATTCGGGCAGATACAATCAAGGCCTGCAGTCAAGTCTATTCTACCGAGAAAACTTGTACAAGTACGCACAAAATTCTTGTGTAATAAGCGATGCTTGCCGTTATTCGTTATCACCTTGGAAAGATCCGCGTTAGTTTCAAGTCGTTCTTTATTTCTATTAGTTTATGCATCGCGTGTATCCATTCATGCGTTAATTTGAACGCTTGGAATTTGCATAGATCTATCTGAATCAACGTTAGACGCTCGTTTGAATGTCCTATCTTTGCGCTTTGCCTTCCGTTATTCGCATAACTCATTTCGATCATTTTTTTACACCAATCCACATCTCGCGACGAAGCACACGTTTTCTCGAGAGCTTTTCCTTGACACTTGAGACTCATCGCTTAGCGTGCGACGGTATTAATAAATCGCGGTATCGCAGTATGCGCGGCGATGTATACTCTTAAGGTGACGTTCGGTTTCCACGTGCGAGAAGACAGAGAAAAGCCACGAGGCATAAATCACAAGTGGGAAGTTGAGCTTCGCCTTCGGCGAGTCATAAATCAATAGCTGTCCGTTTGCTGCAACATGAAATGATTACACCGTTCCGTGCGCATACAATCAACAATTACACGTAACGGACGAGACGGAAGAATCCTCGAAATTGGCCGTCGTCGTCATCGGTCTCCCAGATGTTAGATGGCCGGCGAGCTGTTTTCGCCATTTTTCCTTTCGCGCACTTGTAAAACGCCCTTTTATTATGTTACCGCTCTTTTCCTCTCCCGATAGTTTGGGAGTGTTACTCATCAATATCTCGTCGGCGTGGAAATAGCGACGCAATGAGCGTCGCTAGTCGTTGAAGCTAATTAACTCATTGAATACCTCCCGGGGCGAACAATCTAACCTTTGTGCATTATTCACGTGCCGACTAATATTATCGAATGTTATGTGCGATCTGCATACAACCTGATGAACCGCGTGCGACAGGACGCGGCCGAGAATCGCGGATCTGATAGGCGATATCTTTACGTTTATCACCAGCGGCTTACAATGAGCGCCGTCGCCGTCGGCTTAACGAAAAAAGAGAGTATCGCCGATGTAGCAATGATACCTCTAAACTATAATGATTGTTATTAATTGCAGCGAGATGATACGATGTATCCGTGTACGGTTTTAATAACGGACTTATTCGTCTAAAGAATCTCGCAGCATATATGTACATATACGGCAGCTTGCATGTTGTTTTAATAAAATTTAATAATAATTCGAGCTAATAAATCTCACCGATAATTCACCACGCGAATAGCAATCCAGTTTTAGAATCTCGATACTCGCAAATGTAATCAGGCTAAAATATCACATAAATGCAATGTCGTGCATACGCACAATTATGTAAGTAGTTATGCGTCGCCGAGATGTAACAAATCGTTTATCACTCGGCAGTCTTTGACTTAACGGATTGTCGATTATTTCACTTGTTCAGCATTAATCGGAAGATTCTAATTGTAAGTAGCAAGTCGGATAGATGTTAGTTTCACTCTTTTTCCCACATATTTTGCAAACCGGCCTCTTCTTTCTTCGCAATTCATTCACGATCGACGCCGCAATCGATCAAATATTTTCCCTTTTCCATTTTTAGAAAGTATCTTAAATAATTTGCAAAAAACTTTGAGACCGTTTTTCGAGTGTACTCAATTTACATTTATAGAATTTATTTCTCTGTTATTTTAGGTTTTGCAAACTTTTATAAAAAACGCACGCATTTAAGGATTAATTATGACTTTGTACGATCTGTCTTTAATGCAAGACATTAAGAAATGTTTTAAAAACTTTATTATATTTAATTTATAATTAATTATAGCTTTTTATATTGGTGTTCTCGCAGACTGAAATGGAAGCGGAGTCCGAATGTGCGGACGACGTTCTGTGTCCAAACAACAACAACAACAACAATAACAACAATAACAACAACAACAACAACACGAGCAATAACAATAATGTAGTGAAGAAAAGCGGCAACGATAACGGATACGACACCATGGAAATGGACTGCGGCGGTTGCGGAGAGAGCGTACGCGAACGCACCGTCCTGTGCGTAGGAGGCCGTACTTGGCACTCCAGATGCCTAAAGTGTTGTGCCTGTGCACGACCCTTGCACGATCAGCACTCGTGCTTCCTGCGCGGCATGCGACTGTACTGCAGACATGATTACGTTCTGTGAGTGCAAAATTTACATTATGGCGCCTTGTGGAAAACCACGTTCATCAAAGATGGCTGAATTTTACGCGAAATCTACGCAGAGGCTTAGAACCATCGAAAATCTATTCAGAAATGAATTTTACCGTGAATACCATTTAAATTTTTATAATTAAAAAATTTTTAAATATAAAAAAAATTAAAATATCTAATTTTAGATAATTTTGGACAATTTCTGATTTTTTGCGTGAGATTGCATGAAATTTTGCCATTTTTAATAAACGCAATCTTGGAATTCTAGAAATTTTCAAATTTTGTATATCGCTGATTTTATTGAACGGAATAGCGAGAAACGATTAGCGAGAAAAGCGCTTTTCTGTCCTCTGCGCACGGATCCGCATTCCGTGTGTTGTTATCACGAGTTCGGGGATTACGGACGTTATCAATGAATCCCGATAATATCCCGCTTCGTCAAGGGTGACTTACGAGGCGTCCCGCTGTGATATTCAATCCGAGATTAGGTTGGCCGAAAGTCCGGTTTAAGATGACGTTTTTCGGCTACTGCAGTCAAGTTGATCTCCAGAAAGAATCGTCATGCGTTCGACATGTTTATGACGAAAAGACTCGCTCACGATGCACGCGTGACACTCAAAGTACGATACGCACAACACTTCACTCGATTCCGCTTCTTTTCTCGCTGGATCGTCGATCGACATCAATGACTAGTCAGAATATTTGACCGCGCGCCGTTAACTCGCCGTTAAACGTTTAGAGATATCTTTTGTTCTTTGCGCGCAAAACGGACACAAGTCGAGATCGGTTGATCTCAAGCGAATCGTCTTTCTGCCACAGTCACGTGACTTGATCGCGTGGGTTACAGATGGATATATCTACAGATAGACATCTATAAGCGCACGTATTGGGTGTTCGAGAAGTGTGCGCGCGCGAGAGTCGCCATTGGGTGATTAATGTCTTCCAATGTAGTCTGCCTCTTCGTCTTCTTCTTCTTCCTCCTCCGTTCCCTTCTCGTCCTCCTCTTGCACGGACCTCACGTATAGTCGGCTATTCACGTCACCGCACATTCGTGTATCACGCATGCTCACGCACAGCGCGAGCTGCGGAGTCACGTTGACGTCTCGACGTCTCACTGTCTCCTGCCGAACGCGGAAAAAATAAATATTCTGTCCCGACTTTTTCGCGACGGGATCATCTTCTCGCCTTGGCTCTCTGTCACGTTTCCGTCCGTCTCCAAGATATTTTGCGCATTTATTAGTATACTCATTACATTTTTTGTCATCTTTCACACTTCATACGAATTAATTGTTCTGCAAACTTTGTTTAGGCGGAAGGGCTTGAAGAGCTGACGATTCAAAGAACATCTTAAGGTCGCGGAAACAGGACAGTTGGTATTTCATTGGTATTTCATCGACGGGGGAAGCGTCACTCGACTATCATTAATTTATCAATGTCTCGAAAGCGGGTTACTTCGCGCTTCGTGATTCCGTATATTAAATATACGCGCGCTCATGTGTATATGTGGGTGCCGAGTCACACTCGAGATAGAACTGCCTAGTGTCAGTGTTCCGGAGGACTGAGGAATTTGCCTCGTAAGGCATCGAAGCCAGCTGCGATCCTTCGAACCTTCTACCTTGTTCGCCTCCTTCATCCGAGTACGAGCCGCGCGCGCGGTGCTTCTTTTCAGGCCGCAGGCAGAGAAAGCGAAACAGAGAGAAAGAGAGAGGGAGAGAGAGAGAGAAAGAGAGGACGTTCTTTGAAATTAATAAATATTCACCCGACGGACCTGGGGTCGACGCACACCTTCGACGGAATCCGAAATCCTTTCCCATGCTTTCCGGAGCACCGAGTGATTCTAATCGCACGCGGCAAAAATCACTTTATTAGTGATTTCCTCCTCCACTTGAGATTCCGGTTCTCTCGATTCAGCGTGGTCAACGATTAAAGCAGCCCGCCGATGTCGGGACCACCTGTCGCTGTGTAATCGCGGCGTTATCTTCTTCACCTTACTAGCACTTAGAAACGCATATCACGCGAGCGTGCCGAGATGGTCGGAGCAAAGCGAAATAATTGCGGTCCTTTCAGTTGGGCGATGACTGCGGAATCAAATAATCATGCAAGATCATATTGCAGCGGTATAACACAGCGTTAATATTATTTGCATATTCTCGTCTTCGATGTCACTTACCAGAATATAAGATAACGGTGTGGCGATAACAGAAGATATAAAAATTATACTGCAAATTATGACAGAGCACGAGCTATTTGAGCTCTCCGCGCTATCGGAACGCAATTAACTTGGCACACTAATATACATATGACCTCGCGCTCGATCCCTCGCTCCCTCGATCTCGTGATTCGCGTGCCGGCGAGGTTCGATTATACTCTCTCGCAGCGTCGTATCCCGGTGCGGATTCCGACGAGTGAGCCCCAACTTAATCCCCCATTGACTTATAGAGCTCGCTTATGTAGAAGAACAAATGAATAAATTAGGGCGGGGCCGTTTGGTAGACGACTTGCGCGCGAATACAGCCCTCAAAATTTATAGATACCAGTTCTGTCACTGCCGCCGGATACGCGAATCTGTCTCTCTTCCTCTACTCTTTTGTACGTTAAATCTTCGTTCCTGAATACAAGAGCGTGGAAAGATAGAGAAAACATGATGATTATTTACCTGAATTCACACTCGTAAGAGATGATGCCGAGAGATGATGACGAAAGATGATGACGTAAATTCCCAGTTCCAGGGAAAGAAATCTTCATTTCAAACGAATTCTCTCGATTCCATGGAAAAAGTGCAAAATTGCGTTTTGTAAAATTTTTATTTTTAGAAATTTTTAGAAGAATCTTAGCACTTAGGGACGCATATCATGCGAGCGCGCCGAAACGGTCGGAGCAGAACGAAATAATTGCGGTCCTTTCAATTGGGCGATGTCCTTCTGTTTTTAGAATCCCTCTTTCTTTCAATTTCAATGAGATAAGAATAGAGTCCAATAATTGTCCGTAAATAAGTTCAAGATAATGAATTGACAGAAACAATAGGATTCTTCTCATTATTTTGACACTTTACAAAATTAACAAAAGGCAGATCGTAGATTCGTCTGAGATTGGTACGAACTAGCTTCTAGGCGTTGCCCTTTGCGCGATCACTATACTCAATAATATCCCGAAAACATCGCGTCATGCGACGATGACTATGCAGACGCGAAGACTAATCCCTCTTTCCTCCTTCTCCTTCTCCTCCTCTCCATAAGCTTACCATATTTTTCCATACAATAACGCCGTGGTCGATCGGTCGTTGATGCATTCTTCTGCTCCTTCTTCCTCTTATTCGTCTCTATGCTCTTCTGGCTCCTTTCCTTTTTCTCCTCCTTCTCTTCTTTTTCTGTCTTTTTCTATATTCCTATACTTTTTATTTATCTTTTCCTTCTCCTCCGTTTTATCTTCTCTTCTTTTTCTCCCTTTTCTTCTTCATTTCTCTCTTTTCTTTATTTTACGTACGTTACCGTATGCATTGCACAATCTCTGCCGAATTTTATTTCTTCATGTTGTATTCTTTTTATCTCAACTTTTTGTGGTTTTTTTTTCATCTTTTTACTTCTCCAACGTTAGATTCGCTATTTGTGATCGGCGTAAATCGGCATAAATTCAAAGAGGCCGAGTCATTTGTACAGGGAACGGAAGCCGCGCGACTGAGACATCGAGATAATCTCGACGTAATCTACTTCTCGAATCACGATACCGATCCCTAAACCAGCGGAGGCTTCGTGTCCTGTTGGGAGAACATCGGAATGGCTGAGTAGTATGTTAATGAGGACAGGACTCTGCCGCTGAATTCTCGCACTCGGAGGTCTCAAATGAACCTTCCTGCCGTCAGTGGGATAAAAATAGTTTTTCGCCTGCGTCCACAATTAAATGTCCGACGAGTGCGGCGAAACCGCGCCTATTAGCGTCCATTCGTGCGGCCGCGTTCCATCGAAAAAGAAGCTTCGCCCGTGAATCGATGAATGATGAATGACGGTAAAAGTGGGTGATAAATGGGCGGCACCGGTTGAATCGGCTCTTCTTTTCGTCATTGATTACGCGCGTCGATTAATTTTTTTCAACGCTCGCGCACAGGAGTGCGGACGTATCCGACGTGTACAGCGCGCAGCTTTCACACAGGAGTATCCCACTGTTCGTGTTTGCAGAACCTTCGGCGCCAAGTGCGCGAAATGCGGGCGCAGCGTGGGCGCGGGCGATTGGGTGAGAAGGGCCAAAGACAGGGTTTATCACTTGGCGTGTTTCGCCTGCGACGCCTGCTCCCGCCAATTGTCCACGGGGGAACAGTTCGCTCTCCTGGACGCCCGGCTGCTTTGCAAGGCCCACTACCTGGACGTAGTTGAGGGCAACAATACATCCTCCTCGGAGGACTGTGATTCTGAGCACGGCGGCAAGGGCAGCAAGACAAAGCGCGTGAGAACGACCTTCACCGAGGAGCAGCTCGCGGTGCTTCAGGCTAACTTTCAGCTGGACAGCAATCCCGACGGCCAGGATCTCGAGAGGATAGCCCAGGTGACCGGTCTCAGCAAACGGGTCACGCAAGTCTGGTTTCAGAATTCCAGAGCGAGGCAGAAAAAGCATAGCGGCAAAATTAAGACTCAAAGTAAGCTCGCGGCTCGATTTCTTTCGACCTCTTTCACCTGGTCAAACGCTTACGATTCGCGTGTGTGTTCGCAGTGCATCATTCGCCACCGATACAGCATCATCCCGATCTATATTCCGGCGCGGTCAACGTGGTCGGCGCTTATCTGGGCGGTTATCAGGTTGCCAATGCTGGCAGCGAGAGTCCTGGCAGCCCGTTAACGCCTCTCACACCCTTGACACCGCTCACACCGACGACGCCGAATCATCTGCAGGCCCAATTTTGCCATCAAACGGGATAATTGGAGACGCGAGAGTTCCGTTCACCAGTCATATTAACGATTAAACTCTCTACCAATATTTTCGGGAGAATCGATCTTCTCCACCGAATCTTGTATATATTGACAAAGTGTAAAGTAAACGCGTATTAAAAATTAAGCTTATTTATTCCAAACTCGTTGTAACAAGTTTACGTGTACTTGTGACAGTATATTAAATTTCTTAGGCGGAAGAAGGAGAAACAACTCGGACTAATGCGTTATTGTGTCTTTCTTTCAAATACGTAGTTAGATATTCTTCATATCCATGATACGACGTTGTATATAGACGAATTGTAGCTTTTGTACATATAATCTGTTTCTTTTAATATAGAAATATCGAGACAAGTTTTATGAACGAGAATTTGATAACGTTTCCCCGTGTCGCGCATTCATCACTGCAATATTGTAAACCGTACTGTTATTAATAAAACGCCTTTTATTGTTGCCCGTGATGTAATTACTGTTCTTCAACCACTTTGTCTAATCGCAGATAATGCAGACAATTAGAATTGCATTGCGCGAGAAATACAGAGGACAATACAGAGGAGGATAATAATCAGGGTACAAAAAATACAGGTACTCTTTTTTTGTTCAACATGTGCAATTGTATATATATATATATGTATATATATATATAGTTTACAATATTTACATTACGATACATTCATATTAAATGATCCTTTTACACGACTATTGAAATACTACGAAAGATACTTTCATTTGAAGCATTGCTACGGGACATGCGATATTTTGATGACGAATCGCAAATCACTTACGTCTCCGATAACGAGCTATTTTTTTTTACATTCTTTCACAGAAAAGATGGAGGGACGGGGAAAGAATGAATGACGTGTACGACATTATCAAATGCACACAACTGAGAAAGAGGTAGAATCGATTCAAATCACGATTGCACACATTCGCACACATACACATGTACAGCATACGCGCGCGCGCGCGCACACATCTTTGTTTAAATTTCTCAATATGTTGCGAAACAATACGTAATCACGTAACGCGGAACGTTACTCGCTTGATATTTTTCAGAAGTTTGACACTGAAAGAATGCGAGATATGAGCAAAAAGTATGAGCAATTGATTGGAAGAGTCATCGAAGAGTAATAGCGTGAGACAGTAAGCTTCCCCTTTTAAGATAAATAAAACAATACCCGGGTTTTGTGAGCGATGCTTCTTCGAGGCGTGTATCTCTACCTTTTTTTTCAAGCAACGCGTGTATTTACAATATGCTGAATTGTGCCAGTGTCATTAAACTTCGTTCGGCATAGATAGTAGCATCGAGTCTTGCGAGAGCTCGTCCATCGACTGTTCCGATCCTGAGAATAAAGTCAATGAAATCGCGATAAAGTAATTGAATTCTTCAAATTAATGATCGTTTTAATCGAGTTTTCAAGATGACAGTCGCGAAACTTTTTGGATTTCTTACCATGATTGTGATAAATGGAACTCGTGGGACTCTTGCACGTGGCCGGGCTGAGTTGCGGCTGCTGTTGTTGCTGATGTTGATGTTGCTGATGTTGAAACGAATATGTGAGGTGTAAGTTGATATGTCGACCGAAATCATTGGGCGATGCGGTGGAATTCGGTGGTGACTGATGCACTGTAAAAATTTGTTTCTCGATGCTCTTATAATCGCACTTATTAATTGTTATTATTATAAATAACGGGTGACTGAAATCTTTGTGAGAAAAGAGTTTCCTTGCAACTTCCCGATAGAATTTCCAGAGATTTTCAAATTTACAACATTTTTACATGCAAATTAAAATGAAATCTTTTTGTTAATTTATTGAAGGTAAGAAATGTTGAGCACAATGTACCGTGTTGGCCTTTCATTTTGCCCGTGTGAAGATGCTTCTTCTGCCTCGCCCTTGAATTTTGAAACCAAACTTGCGTGACCCTTTTACTGAGCCCAGTTACGTGCGCTATCCTTTCGAGGTCCTGGCCGTCGGGATTGCTGTCCAATTGAAAATTCGCCTGAAGAACGGAGAGCTGCTCCTCGGTAAAAGTGGTTCTGACACGCTTCGCCTTGTTACCGCCCTTGTGGCCGCTCTCGGAGTCACCGCCTTCTGCGAAAGTACCAATTAGCCGTACCTCTCTCCTTACCGTTACGCGATCCATCTCGATCAAAGCGCATCATTCTCGCTCAACGCGCGTCGGCTTGTACAATAGAGGATCGTGAATCATATTACTATCTGTTCAATTAATTTTGATTATAATTAAAGCAGTTCTTTTAAAAGATAATACAATATACATACAAATTCAATTTGATTTCAAGTAAAAGAAAATTATTTGCAGAATCGTCAAGATTTTTAATCCTTTTCCAAATCTTATTGCACATGTATTATGTAGATCAAAAATTTGATTTTAACAACTTTACTTCACATTAATGGTTTTTGCGATCATTTTCACCAAGAAATTAGGAAAAGAAACATTCAAGTGGGCGACATTCTCACCATCGGAGGATGTGTTGTTGCCTTCGACGACGTCGAGATAGTGCGCCTTGCAGAGCAATCGGGCGTCTAGAAGGGCAAACTGCTCGCCGGTCGACAACTGACGCGAGCAAGCGTCGCATGCGAAACAGGCGAGATGATAAACCCTTTCCCTGGCCCTTCGCACCCAATCGCCGGCACCCACGCTACGTCCACATTTCGCGCACTTGGCGCCGAAAGCTCTACAAACATGAGAAGTGGTGTTCTCACGTGTCAAGTGCGTAAACGTTGCATTGTTAATCGCGCGAGCATCGAGACTTATTTCACGCTACGTTATAGCGACAGCTAATATAGTCGACTCGTTATTCGATTAAAACGAGTACGAGCTATAATGATAACTGCTTCGACGTAATTCGCAAACACAAGAAAAAGATACGAAGGCCGAAGCGAAGATAAAAAAAGAGAAGGAGAGAGAAAGAAAAGGGAGAGAGGGAGAGAGAAGAGATATTCGCGTCGGTAAGCGAGGTCCACGAGTGCTTTCCTTCAGTGGCGCGTGTTTTGCGGCCATTTATTTCTTCGGCTCTCATCCGAATAAAATAAACACCTCCTCGGTCTTTCTTTCCTCCCGAGCTTCGGGAAAGATTTGCGCAGGAAAACGCACGAGAAATTGTCTTCCACGAGAGACAGTTTTAACGCCCGCATACTGACGCGTCTGTAATCCGAGATCCTTGCGTTTTAATTAACTCACGAGCGTGCAAGCGATCCAGGAATTATACAATATCCTGTCGCATTAGGTAGTTTGAATTATACAAGTTGCGTCGTTGTCCATCATATTCTCGCGGCTCTCCGAGTCTAATCATCGCATGGGTTTATGCGAGTCTACGAGCCGAGGCCTCCGCGAGGGAACTCGCTGTAAACGGTAGCCGTGTACCACGGCTGCGGACACGAGCGTGTCCTGCACACACGACACGCGCGCTTGCACACGCCCGAATGAATGGCTCGGTGAGGCTTGCAATCGATCCGTAGGATGCACAACAACCAGAGGTGGTTGTCCTTCTCAGCGTACAGTCGCTCGTGTCGGCCGAGAGTGTCGCGGTCGATAATTAAACAACAACTAGACGGCCATTAGCCCATTATCATATTCATGAACACGGAAAGTGCATCCGATCCGATACCACGTCCAGCTTCTTCTTCCCGTGCGCTCGCCAATCGAAAGGCACTGTGCTTATGCGGATTGTATTTGCGTGATGTCCACGGTATAACATCGCACGCACTTTGAATATCCTATAGGTTGGCCACGCGACTATCCCGCTGAATCAACCCGCCACACCCTACGCTGCGGATGTTGTCGCCAGAAAAGCTCTCACTTTGAATATCGCAACAGAATATTGCGCGCTTCTGTGCCGAAAATTAATTTATTCATTTTTTTTTTCTTTTTCTTTCAATTTAACAAATTTGCGAGTCACGCATCGGTTATCTGTGTACGGAGTGTAAAATAGACCTTCTTCATTTAAATTTTAATCTTCAAATTAATACTTCATGGAAAATGCACTTACAGCTTTCGATAGCTTTTCTTTCAACTGAATTAATTTGAGATCAGAAAACTTATTTTACTATATATAATTGTTTCGATTCAATTTAATTTATTTTCTACCTATCAAAAAATATGGTGGTGTGTGTGCGCGCGCGCGCGCGTGTGTGTGTGTCTCTCTCTTTATTATGATATATTCAATCTTATATATTTCTTTAAACACAAAAGAAATAAAAAAGGAAGGCAAAGTAAACAGATACGTACGCCTTAATCCTATTGTCCTTTGAGAGAAGCAGTTAATTCCTTGTTCTGGCGCTAGAGATGATTCCCTTGTCACGCCTACATCCAAAGCTAGATAGGGATTTGAATTTCGAGTGACTCGTCCGCGACATTATGACACGCCGATTCTCGAACAAGTCACAAAGCGAGTTGCATGTCGATGCAAGATAAGAGAGACACGCGGAAAGATACGGGGATATCTTATGCCTCCTTAAAGAGCAGTAGTTGATATATGAGCCACCCTTTCGCCTTCTGTTTTCTTCATGTTTTTCATTAGTCTTGAAACAATTACATTTTACAGAACGTGCGAGGGAAGATACGGGATGGCTTCGATTCTTTCCGAGTTCCTTGTCGGTGGCGGTTGTGGACGGATCCACAGATCGTGTCGGAATCCTGCCGATAACCGGGTCATCGTATGGCAGCATTACTAGGCAGAAAGTTACAAAAATTACGCGGCAGATTCTTTCAGACCTCCCGCATAACTGTTCCCAAGTCCGTTCAAATTAGTCAAATTTTGAAAAAGTAACTCCAGAATTACGGTTATAATGAACAATTTATTAATGATATTTTAAATTGAATGTTATTGAATTCCGCGATGGTGATGTGTCAAAATTGACGTTTCACAGATAAATTGTTTTCTCTCGCTTACAACTCGCAGAAATCTCGGTTGACATTGTCAGTATTACACGTATGAATTGAATACACTTGAAATTTCAAACGTTCGCTATCGCCAGATATGGACGGATCGCGCAGCGATCGGATATCAGCGACGTCAATGTCGGGGTTCGGTTGCTGTACGATCCAGGTGACTCAAGTAACTGATTGACAGTTGGATAAACACATTGGGCAGACTGCGCCCGAAGCCTTCCGTACAATCGACTAGTCACCGCCGGGTTTCGTCGACTTTGATCTCCACGACTGTACGTCTTACATCGCTATCGATGCGCATCGTGCCCGCAACAAAAATATTCCACTTATTCATTCGGTGATGCGAACAAAAAGACGCAATCATTCTCTCTCTTTCTCTCTCTCTCTCTCTCTCTTCCTCCCTCAAGATTAACACATAGGCGAAACTCAGTAAACTGCTTTAAAATCGTTATGCAATTAAAACATGATACGAGATATTATTTCAAACGTGAAAGTGTGAATTGACGATCGGGACTTACAGGACGTAATCGTGCCTGCAGTAGAGCCGCATTCCCCTCAGGAAGCATGATTGCTGATCGTGCAACGGCCTGGCACAGGCGCAACACCTCAGGCACTTGGAGTGCCACGTACGTCCGCCCACGCAGAGGACGGTACGCTCGCGTACACGCTCGCCGCATCCGCCGCACTCCATTACGCCCGGCGACGTTTCCGGGCCGACGACCAGGCCGCTGGTGCCCTCGGGATAGGCGAGATTCGCACCGCCGACGCCACCGTCGCATGCTCCATCGCCGCTCGTGTCCTCCACTTCCGTCTGCGTATGCAACAAAACAACAGTCTAAATTTGCGCCGTTCAAATGGACGCGAGGTGTCTAGATTTCGGCGGCAGAATTAAACAACTTGTGACATTTGTACGATGTTGATATTTTCATATACATCTTTAAACGTCTAGTCGATTGTTCCACAACTATTGAGGGGACAAAAATTATTTCTCCCTCGAAACAAACAAATAAAATATACTAAAGTTTTTCGCCAGTAGCGCAGAGTTTCCGGGAATTTTAAAAGACCCGAGACTGATCTGACCCAAGTACGCCTCCCTCGCTCAAAAGTTATTTCGTCGATGACATCGAAGGGGCTGCGTGGAGTCGATGTTAACGCACCATTGGAGGTTTACCGTAACAAGACCGGTAACATAATGACCGGGGGGAGGGGGGGCGGGGGAATTCGAAGAGGCGACTGGTTGCTCGGCCATTATGCGGTTCCATCGGCGTTACGCAGCCACCGGTGGAACCCTTATTTGGGGGAATGTATTGTGTGGTGACGCGGGGGGCTGCAGGGCGTGTACACGGCGTGACTTCGGCGTGAGAGGTGCCGAGGCGAGAAGACATGCGTTTACAGGCGGTACGTGTACCAGCACTTTGTGCGACACAGACACGCGTGTGTTACCATATTGAAAAGGAATGAGCGACGCGCATATCGCTCGTGTGGGGAGCGACACTCGAAATTGAGCGCCGTTTGACTGCGCCGATCGCTTGCGGTTACATTCACCTCACGACGGGGTGCCTTCGCGCTTGACCAGCTGCCTACCGGATCATTTGCCGCGCAAACTGGATACGCTCGATCTGCGAATCGCGGAAGCCCGCACAAGGCAGTGTAGATATTGAAATAAGATACGGACGATAAATAACGAAAGGTGAATAAATGCGGAGAGGAATCGTTATCGCTCGACGCGATCCGTGACAGTTGATATCGATCTAATTTTTCAGGCGCCACACACAGTTGAACTAATTTGTTGTAACAACATTGCAAATCCGATTAGTATCCGTTTAAAGATTCGAGAAGATAAGTGAAAGCATGGAGCGATACGATATATCGATGTTATTCCATGTTGTTTGAACGTTTTACATTTTACGAGCATTGACGCGTGTAATTTATATTGATATATAATGACGGCATCCACTGTGTGTGAATCTGAAGGAGAAGACGCTATTCAGGTTCGCGTTTTGCAACACGGCGAGCAACGTATTAACGCTTATCCGCGCTTATGCGCGCATACGCGCGCCAGAGAGTTATAGGTGACGATAATAACTTTGCGTTGTATGTAAAGCGGTGTCGTAAAATGCGGGATTGGATTTCTTTCAAGAGTATTCGTCTAATGTATACGCGTTCGAATGTGAAAGAATTCGTAGCGACGCAATGAAAGTGAGTCGGGATGCAGCCGAGAATTTAGACAGATTTGCATAATTAAACGTCCAGCTTTGGAGAGATTTGAGGTGCACTGGTTAAAACTTTTTTGTTTCATAGATAAGAAATATTTTCTTTTACAGATTTATTGCTGCATATTAACTAAAAGACAGGAATAATGCTCCCGCTTGGCGGAATATATTAGCATACGGAGTGCTGAGAATACAAGTCACATAAGGCTATAAAAAAATTAAATAAAATTGTAATTCTAAAAAATCCACCTGTCTAGAATTCATAATCAATTATTAAATATATGTGTATAGTCATATTATAGCCAATTTGTGTCAAATAATCATAGTTTCATAAGTAATTAATTATTAATTAATTTTTATAAGAATTAGCAATTCTCAAATAATTTTTTATTCATTAACTACTTGTCGTTTCCTTAATTTCAGATTCGTAAATGATAGCTATACAATAATATATAGATAATGAATAATGTATCGCTTTGTATCATCAAATATTTAATATACCATTCTCTTCTTCTAACATACAATGATTATTATTGTCGGCATAAATTTACATTAATTGAAAATTTTGTAAAGATAATTATACATGAGATTAACAAGCAACGTCAAACTGTATGACATAAAATCTCTTATTAATTACTTATTAATTGCTGGTAAAGTCTTATTTAACAATTTGATGATTTTTTAATGATTTGATGATAATTAAAGAGTAACCGACTATGAATTCTTACTAAAGAATTAAAGCTATTTATTCATAAATTCTAAATAATAACAAATCTTTCAGGCGAGAATTCGTAGAATTAGTAATCGTGAAATATTAATTCGAATAATTGAATAACGATCCGTTATGATTTAGTTTGCCATTAATTATGTTCTCAAACAAAGATTGAAAAACTTTTATGATTGTAAATGTTGAATTGAGATTATAAATATTTTTGTATGAAAAATTGACGTTAACATGGCCGTGGTTCATTGAAAAGAATGGACATAACTTTATAAGATATTTTGCAAAGTGCATCCATTTATATTCTGTAGCTGGCAGTAGAACTACAAAATAGTTTTATTGCGCACAATGTATTTTTTTCTTTTAGAGCAAAGCAATGGAACAACTTTCTACTTAAATGAAAATCTACCAAAAAAGTGGACTCAAATTATAATTTTATATTTTAACTGTGTAGTTTAGCGCTTTAACAACTACCGTTATTATTTTACCTAGACACATGAATGCATACTCGACGAATTTCTCAACATTCTCATCGCCCCAATTATACACATACGCGTATTATCTCTTGAAAAGTAACGGATATAATTTTCACATTAGCGTGCATCGCCGACCCAATAGTTGGTTTCCCTCGACCCCTTATAATCAGATCTACAGATTTACCTATTCTTATAATCCCGCTTTTACGGGTGTTATTGACTCTTACTGGAAGAAGATTTTCAAGCACCTTTTGCGAGACGAAGGGGGACCCATAGTCAACTTGTATTTCGTACTCTCTCATATTGAGTCCTCTCGTACACGCCTCTGTTTAAAACCGTGGAGGCTCCATTCTTACAACTTGCAAGCGGCTTCGGTTTCGGTTTCGGTCCCTTTCTAAACCGATAGACACTGCCATAGAGTATGACTTTCAAAGCTGAAAGCCTGTCGACGGGGGGGCGGCCTTATAGGGGTCGCCAATGCAGGATACCCGCCCTTCATCGGCCCTCGCGGGTCTGTGTCATTTTCAGCCCGGAACACGTTGTGTCCATTGAAATCGATATTTCTTTTCCTGGCAAAACTATTCTTTCGTGTAGTAGGTATACGCACTCGTCCATATAATAATCATAATACGATGTAGCAACACGTAAAACCGAAGTCAACCGACACGATGATTGGTGCCCCTTTCTTTTCTATTCCTTGCAGAGTTACAGAATATTTATCTTAATCAATTTATTTATAAATATGTAATAAGGGAATTATCATTATTTTTTTATGTAATTTATATTTGTAATAATTGTAATTAGCGACAAACAAATTATATTTTGACGAAAATAAAATTGCGTATTTATGAAATACGGAAAAATCTGCACAATTGAAGCTGCAACCTTTGTGAACCGACTGTCGATTGTCGAGTTTGTGTTCGATGTATTTGGAATGACATGGTCCGTGGTCTCCTCGTAATCTCGGCGCGTAGAGCGCAAATTCGTTTTCAGTCGCTAATGAACACGACCGTTAATTAGAAACGAACACTTTGTAGTAGACTGCCTGGATGCGAGAGAGGACGGCGTTACTATCTAACAGAATTTGCCCACATACACACGGATCCTCGTAGAAGGAATTTATTAAGGACAGAGAGGAGGGGGGGAGGAGAGAGGGAGGGAGGGAGAGAGAGAGAGAGAGAGAGAGAGAGAGAGAGAGAGAGAGAGCGTGTGTGCGACGCGCAAAAATTATAAATGCCAAATATTCGCATGAATGGCTCTCTATCGATTGTTATGAATTCTTACCGAGCAAAGGTTATTTTTCTCCGCCAACATTAATTTCACTAACTTTCTTCTATTTTCGCGTGGCAATCTATTTATCTACCTATCGATTAGGTCGATGTGAAACGTCAAGAAAACGACATGCTACGACGAAAAAGAATTCGAGACTGCCTGGTATGAAAAAAACACGACCTGATCTCGATCTCTTTCCTGAGCGTCCTTTCGTCCGTTTCCACGGTGATCCAGGTGACAAGTTGACAAAGTGGCCGGCTATTCCCCCTGTTTCCAGACGATGACCGAAAATAATACTCATCGCTTTTTGTGTATCTCGAGCACATTCGGGTTTCCTCGAAACGACCAGATCGCGTCGACCGACCGGCGGGCGTCGGTCGTTGAGGACGAGGCACGAGCCTGCTTTACGCTTTCATAGAAAAGAGGCGCTTCGTGTGGAAACAGAATCTTATGTGCAGGCAGACAGGTACAATAGACACGACAGGAGTGAAGGGTCTGCTACTCGAAATCCATTTAAATTTCCATCCGATTTTGGTTTCGCATACCACATTGTCGCCACCGCCGTCGTCTATTCTGATGGTCTCGACATTGTACTGCAAGGATGCGACAAAGGAAGAAGAGATTCGTTACATGATTAGGATTTCGAATCACTTATTACCCGCGCGCCGGAACACCCCGTGATCGAGATGAGCAACCTTTCGAGAGATACCGAACGAGCCGTGACAATGGCGCTCGCGCGCGCGTTCAATGCTGAATGGCTGACGCTGCCCACGCGTGCACGAGTGTACCTTTCGTAGTGCGTGAGTGACTCTTGCGTGACGATCGCTCACGCCCGTGCAATCTCAACGCGCTGCGATACGAAGAAAACCTCGGCGCGCCAATTGTTAAGGCGCGTGTAACAGCCGAGAGTAATCGAGAAATTCCCGGCTTAGCCATTCGCGCCCTGATATTTTTTCTCTCTTCCTTTCTTTCTAATAATTCCTATCAGTACATACTGATTTTCCATATGTGAGAACAATATACTAAAATTTTCGTACACTTTAAGTATCTCGAACCAGAGATCGGTGTACAAAGTTAACTGTCTCACGTAGACTAATAAATTAATTTCTTTAAAAAAAATTAAAATTTCGCACTAACATCTCGCGACGGCTCTCAATGCCTTTCTATTATATTATTTGATAATAATCGAGAAACCCTGTACATCGCGATCTATTTGTTAAATAATAATCGGTCATATAGAAAAAAAAAAGACTAGTTATGTACAATTTTTAAACATCTATCATATATCATTTACGAATAAATTATTTTCCGCTATCTGGCGTGCGATCAAAGTGCCGTGCGTTTTCGTACTCGAATTATCACGTTATCATGTTACACCGCAAAATTACTGTCAAAATGTAAACAACGTCGCACGATTTATTGCCGCTGCTGTATCGAATTACTTATCGCACATATATTTGACATATTCGACAATGATTTATACTTATAATGTTTAGTCTTTGAATGCATTGATTTTTATGTCGCCAAAATAAGATTTTACCCATATTGTAAAGGAAATAATCTAAACAAATTATTTTAAAAACATTGGATTAAAAATTATACCGTGTATAATTTGCGGCGGAGTAATAAATTCGCTCTGAGTATAGTGTGCCTTGCGATTTGCGCCTCGTACATATTTCTTCTCTTCGTTGCTCTGAAGTCTCGTTTCGTTTTTCATTCACCATGTATGTTGCTCTGCTTATTTCACCAAAGCGCAGGACGCACGGAACCAGAAAGGGAATGAAAAAGAGTGTGAGGGGGAGGGGAGGGGAGAGAGAGAGAGAGAGAGAGAGAGAGAGAGAGACTTAAAATCGGAGCTATATAACTCCGGATCAAGCTGATGCGGCATTTTGCGTGCTTTATGCCGACAATTTACTGGACCACACGCGCCGCGAACAACACTCTATCCTGAAAGGTCGTCTTTTCGCGTAACAACTCACGCACCTTTCTTAGCACGTGTAGGATGTTGACTGTCTCCGCGATGTGATCTTACGCGAATTTACAGTTCCACTCGCGTGTACGCATATTTTACGTAGCATATACAACGTCTATTTGCAGCTGGGTGTGTAATTCATCCGTATGCATGTCGCGGGTTTGCGTCAAACTTGCAATGGGGAAGAAGAGGCATTTAACAAAAATCTTCAATCCTTTCGGACATAAGAGAGAAGAAGAGAGAGAGAGCAGAAGAAGGAGGAGGAGAAGGAGGAGGAAGAGGAGGAGAAGGAGGAGGAGAAGGAGGAGGAGGAGGAGGAGGAGGAGGAGGAGGAGGAGGAGGAGGAGGAGGAGGAGGAGGAGGAGGAGGAGGAGGAGGAGGAGGAGGAGGAGGAGGAAGAGGAAGAGGAGGAGGAGGAAGAGGAGGAGAAGGAGGAGGAGGAGAAAGAGAGAGAGGGAGGAGAAAGAGAAGGGAGAGACTTAAAAACGAAGCCAAAGAATCATATAATATTATTTTTTGATAGACTTAATTACATTTTATCTATCAAAATTTCATCATTTCTTCATAATTTTATTTTATAAATTTTACAATTTAATAATTTTTTTAGTTTGTACTGCTAATTACTTCACTGTCATTTGTCAATATTTCTTTTTTTGCTTAATTTTTATGTTGTTATTCGATTAAAAATTAGCTACAAAGAATTAATTTTCATCTACATAGTTGTTCTTAAAAGACAATCTTTTTATGTTTAAACTAAACCTGTATTGCTCATGTCTCACAATATTTTAATTTGATTGCTTATTCATAGGAGATGGCACATTAAAGTAGATATTTGATTAATGCCAAATTTTAATTGTAAAAAAAATTTGAAATAAATATTAATGATTTGTGGTGCATTCTGCAAATTTTCAAAACATATAATTTGCATTTTAGTTTATTTATAAATATATTTCAAAAATATATATATAATTATTTTGTATTTCATTACTAGTCTCATTGCATCAAGTAGATACTTTGATACTCATACACATTGATAAAATATAATAATTTTTCTAAATATTTCTACTCTTTTTCTATACATATACTGAGATTGATTAATTCTTGATACATCCATATATTCTTTATATGTATCCAGGATATCTCAGAATAACCACGACAACGCTCTAGCAAATAGAGTACAGTAAACTGAACTGGAAAGTCCTTTACCGTTTTGCGCAATATTAGCAATAATTATGGAAAAATTAGTTAAAAAGAATTGGCAAATAAGCGTGCATTTCGCGTAGCTAGACTCTAAGATGTATATCTAGACATGTGCTAGGTATGCCAGTGGCCAGTGTCGCATAGAAAGTAAAGTTTCTGTCAGCTCGCTGCTCGCGTGTTACTTTTGTTTTCGGTGCGACCAAATTTCTTGTTGCCATACAATACTCGCCACTGTCATGCCTAGAGCGTATCTTCTATAGTCGCGCGAAACGCACGACTACACAATAGAACACGCTCATTTGCCAATTCTTTTTAATTAATTTCTACATAATTATTGCAAATATTGCAAAACGGTAAATGATTTTTCAGTTCGGCTCCATCCGCTCACGAGCGTTGTCGTGGTTATTCTGAGACATTCTGTATAGACATTGAAATAAATCAGTATTCTTAAAACGCAATAAAATGTATCATATTTACGTTTGTTAATTTATCGCGTGTCACGCGTATATGAAAGTTAAGAGTTACATTTACACGTGCATGATTTTCTAAGTACCTTCATGATTTCTCCGAGAAGTTCCGACGAGAAGAAATTCCGTGATTCCTGGACGCGCCTGGCTGTGCAGACCGTCGTTCTCGATCGTTTTTCACGGCTATCGTCGACCTTTCTGCGACATCACACGGGGCGTCACAACGCGAGCGCGGCAGGAACGGCACCTCTGATACGATAGTTTCGAGCTATTGACGCGCGTGCACCACCGCGTGCGATTACGAAGCGCCATGCGAGAAGACGACGGCGACGCACGAAAGCCACATCATGGTACACAACTGGGAGAGAGTTATCCTGCCTCGCACGCGTGT